CTAAGCCCTAAACCCCAAACCAAAAACCATTAAAGCCCTGAGTCCCAGAGCCCTCGGATCCCCGATCCCCGAAGCCCTTAGCCCCCGCAGCCTTCTGGGACGGAGGAGGCTGGCTTCATAATTTAATATGAAGGTCTAAATAGATTTTAGGGTTTAGGGTTCAGGGCTTAGGGCTCAGGGTTGAGGGCTTAGGGCTTCGGGTTTAGGGTTTAGGGCTTCAGGTTTAGGGTCTAGGGCTTAGGGTTTAGGGCTTAGGGTTTAAGGTCTAGGGTTTAGGGTAAACTCTGGGTAAATCCATCGCAGTGCTACATCGGGCTCAGGGTTTAGGGTTGATCCGTCAGCGCCCCGTTCCAGGTATTCAGGCACCTATCACCAGGCTTCCCAACTCATAGGGACCCTAAACTAAACCCCCTAAACCCTAAACCCTAAACCCCCTAAACCCTAAACCCTAAACCCTAAACCCGAAGCCCTAAGCCCGAAGCCCTAAGCCCTAAAGCCTAAATCTTAGACCCGGAGGCTGATGGTTCGAGTGCTTTTATAGGGGGCGCGTTCTTGTTCTCCTCTATTAGGTCTTGTGGGTTTAGGGTTGAGGGTTTAGGGTTCAGGGTTTAGTTGTAGAAGGATTCGTAGAGGCGTTTGGGCTCTTGTTGTAGAAGGATTCGTTAGAGGCGTTGGTTTTTCTTGGCTTTGGGGTTCCGGGTTCACGGTTCAGGGTTAAGGGCTTCAGGGCTTTAGAGGTTTAGGCTTTGGGGGTTAGGGTTTAGGGTTGAAGGTTGCGGGGTCAGGGTGTAGGGGTTTTGGGTTTCATGTCCTGAGTTGTGGGGATTCTGGAGGCGAGTGAAGTCAGGGCTTGCGGCTTCGGGGTTTGAGCTTAGGGTTTGGGACTTGGAATCTAGCATGTAGGATGTGGGGCATAGCTACCCTAAGCCCCAAGCCCTAAACCCTAAACCCTACGAAGACCCTCAGCAAAGCCTTACCGAGCCCTTTTGGGAGACCTTAACCGCTAGAAAATCCTTGTGGAGCCCTTGTGGGAATTCCCGCGCTACGGGTACAAGATTTCGTGGCTTCTGGGTTCAAGGCTTTGGGATTCAGGGTTTAGGGTTTAGGGCCGTCGAGGGTTAAGGTTGTGGGATTTAGGATTCAGGCCCCAGCCCTAAAACAGGACCTCGTAAAGAATGAGCGGGCGACAGGTTGCACGGACACTGCTGCCCACTGTCCGGGCTTCCCAGTCAGGGTGAGCTGTTTAAGCCCTGGGTCATAGACCGTTTGGTTTTTTTCTTGAGCCTGGGTCTGGTGTGTTGGTGTCTAGGGCTTAGAAACTTGGGGCTTAGGGTTTAGGGTGTAAAGGCTTGTGGAGATGTTTGGGGCTCTTGGGTTAGGGAGTGAAGCCTTGCTGCTATGGGTGTGGCCCTTCGGGTTTTTTCATGTCGGATGGCATATCGACAAGAAACCGTAAATCCCACACAGCAGCGGTCTTGGGGCAAGCGGCTCTTTTCAAAGTAGACACTGCGCCCTTGGCCCAATCCCGAAACCTGCCTACAACCGTTATTCCCACACCTGAACCCCGAACTGTAAACCCGAAGTCTTAAAACCTGAACCCTGAACCCTAAGTCTTAAACCCTGAACCCTGAACCCTAAATCTAAAACCCTGAACCCTAAACGCTCAACCCGAATCGCTTCTCCTCGCCGTGAACACGCATCAGTAGCGGCAGCAGCGGCCCTCCGGTGTGTCGTAGCATTACTGATTTGAAGTTAGGGTTTAGGGTTTAGGGTTTGGGGTTTGGGGTTTGGGGTTTAGGGTTTAGGGTTTAGGGATTATGGGGCCCATTATAGCATAATTAGTTTGGGTTTAGGGTTTAGGTTTAGGGTTTGGGGTTTAGGGTTTAGGGTTTAGGGATTATGGGGCCCATTATAGCATAATTATAGCAAGGAGCCCCAAATCTTATTGGCAATCATTCAGGCCCCTACATTATGGACGCCATTCACTGCTTTGGTTAGCAGGCGTCGCGGTCCGAAACTCGAAGTCCCAAACTCTGAGCCCCTTTTGCTTCTTTCACGCATTCACTTCATTCATTTGTAAAGAAATACAAGAGAGAAAACAAGGAAGACAGGAACCCCAGGATTTATAGGTCAAGATATAACCTAAACTAAATCCTAGACCCCGAAGACTTAGACTCCCTGAAGCCTGAAGCGTATTTCTTCACGTCCCAGGAGCCCTGAAGTAGGCACATGGTGCCTATCTATCGAGGATCTCCCCAAAAACTCCAATATCCCTTAATTAAGGAATATGCCTTAAATATATTCCTTAGTTAAGGGATATATGAGTCTCGAGGTCTAATCCGATCTCAGAATTCAAGGGGTTTACATGAACAGCGACGATTACCTCGCTGCAGGCAAAGTTGCTGCTGTCGGAGAAAGCCGCAGACGCGAAGACCTAAGGGAATGGTTCTGTTCAAGGAACTCAGTCTAACTGCACATGATAGTGAGCATATTCTGTTGACTGTACATCCACACTGAGTTAAACCAGATTATGCTCCGTGGTTGGTGTAGTTTTCTTATGGTTCACGGCCCAGGGTTCAGTGTTTTAGGTTTTTATGGTTTATGAAGAGGTTCAATCAATAAGATCTTATGAAGCAGGGTGTATGTGAGGGTGTTGGCGAGTGCTTACGGGGCGCCTCAAATCGGAATTTGCACAACTATAGTAGACGTTTTCCGTTGGGGACGCTGGTGTTGAACGCCTCGCTTCTTATGGGTGGAGCGTTTGTCCTCATGGGAGCATGTGAGCGTCTGCTAGGATTTTCTTGAGGCTCGGTACAACAGACCCTAAACCCTAACCTCTAAAACATGGGGACCCATTTTTTGGGCACCTTATTTTTTTTAACAATGTTTCTTCGCATTTTTTTTTGTGGTTGAGGGGGCGTGGTTCGTATTTCTATAGGAAAGCCTCAATTGTCGCTATGTGTTCCGTGCAAAACATAGAGAAACTAGAACGTAGGATTTGTTTCCCTCAAAAAATATCGAGAAAATACAGGTTTCCATCAGACAATATATAGAAACTAGATGTTTTTGCTATTGAAATATAACGAAAACACAGGTTTTCCTGTAAAGATATGGCGAAAAAAGAGGTTTTCCTATGGAAATACAGAGAACCAACCCACCTGCCCCCTCTCGCCAAAAACAAGGCAGCACTATAAAAACAAATAAAGGGGCCCCCGCAAACAAATTCTCCATCCCTAAAGGTTTCGGGTTTAGGGGTTTAGGGTTGAGGCTTCATAATCATCGGCAAGGGTTGTACAGGGATCCTTAAAGGCTTCTATGAGGGATCTATGATAGGGTTCTATATTCGGGGCCTTCATAATTAGAACAGCCCTAAACCCTAAACCCTAAACCCTAAACCCTAAACCCTAAACCCTAAACCCTAAACTGTTGAAGCCCAAGGGGCTCTTCTGCAGGCTTGGAAGCCCGAAGCCCCAAGCCCGAAGCCCGAGGGCTCAGACCCAAAGCATCGGTTTAGGGTGCAGAGTTTAAGGTTTAGGGTTCAGGGTTCAGGGTTCAGGGTTTAGGGTTTAGGGTTCAGGGTTCAGGGTTCAGGGTTCAGGGCTTAAGGGTTAGGGGCTTAGGGTTCAGGGTTGAGGGTTCAAGGTTTAGGGTTCAGGGTTTAGGGACGCACACCGTCGGAACCCTAACTTCAGGTTTAGGGCTCCCGACACCCACCCCAAACTCCCTCAACATCTCTCCAGGTGCTGAACTTTAAGCCCGGACCCTTTTGAAACCCTGCAGTAGGCAAAATATAACTCTACAGCGAATCCCAGAAAGTTGGAACATGGGTTTAGGAGGAATAGTGCTAGGATCCCTTATACTTTACCTTAAGGGCATGAGGATAATCCTGTTCCAATTTTCTGGCTTCTACTATACAAACTTGCATACCCCTTCAACACCCGATGGACCCTGTAGAACAACAAAACCCTTTTAACCCCTAGGTTTCCATGAAACAGTTTTCTGCAATCGCATAAAGCCTTCAAAGCCTTCTGAAACCCCTCCTCAAAGACTCGCTAAGCCCTAAACCCCAAACCCTAATCCCTAAACCCTAAACCCCTGAACCCTAAACTCTAAACCCAAATCCCTAGCCCAGGTGCGGCAGAGTGCGATCGAGGCCTTCACAGCCTTGGCTTCGCACCTCCGCGCCGGCGACTGCGGGGACCAGGCCAGGGACTTTTGCTTTGTAGGGTTTTAGGGTTTAGGATTTAGGATTTAGGGTTTAGGGTTTAGGGTTAAGGGTTTAGGATTTAGGATTTAGGGTTTAGGGTTTAAGGTTTAGGGTTCAGGGGTTTAGGGTTTAGGGAGGGTTTTAGGATTTGGGCAGTTCTCTAAATTAGGGTCAGTCTAGTACGGCACCCTTATAAAATGGACCTCAACAATGGGACCCTGGTTTAGAGAACTACCCATTTAGCGTTTAGGGTTTTCTTTTGAAGGATTAATGTGTTCTATTGTTATCCTCGTACCTCAACATCTCTTGTCAAGAACGGATTTTTTCATGTGCTAACTTTGCAACCGGCATCTTCACTTTGTTACGGTTTCTCAAGCGGTGGTTTTCGTTTGGGTAACAGGGTCTTATAGGTCTGGTCTTGTAGGTCATTGAACATTTGTTAAATGTCCGCTCTAATGTTTCGCAACATGTTTTTCAAGAGGACTGCGGGCGGGGGGGGGGGTGCTTTCAGGAGTGGCAGGTACAGAAGTACACAAGACTGCAGGTGCTACGGCGGCAGCCGCAAGAAGAATCGCAGGAATTCAAGGGCATGCCGGACCTATAACCCAAACTCCTTGCTTCGTGGCTTAATGCAAGATGAAGGAGAAGGGAGTCTAGTATGAAAGGTCTTTCGTCGAAGCTGTCAGTTTTCAATATTTGGGCGTAGGCCTGTAGTATCAGGGAGAAGCAATCAGCAAGTTTACAGGTTCATCGACTTTTAGATTGATGTGGCTTATGCTTCAGACGGGAGATGGGGTTTAGGGTTTAGGGTTGCCTGAAACAATGCTCACTCGAAGCCTTGATTCCTGTAGGAGCGGTCCTGAGAGTGGCAGTAGAACCCGTTCGTGTAGAAACTCTTTATAGAACCCGTACCTACTATAGGGGCCTTAACAATTAGNNAATAGGGTTTTGGGGCCCATTATGTTCTAATTATAATAAGGAACCCCCAAAACCCTATTCTAATTATGACGGCCGCTACATTACGTCGAATCTCGCTTAGAACCAGTGAGGAATCTAGGGAGGATATGTAATGTGATCCCAGGGTCTTCACTTTGAACCGCCCCAGCCCCCTGTTACAGCCTAAACCCTAAATCGCCCTTAACCTCCCTAAACCCTCAACCCTTACCCCTAAACCCTAATCCTAGGCCTTTAGCCCTAAATCTTGGACCCGAAACCCGAAGCCCTGAACCGCCTACACCCGAAACCCACCAGACCCTGTCATTCGCAAACCCTTGCAGAGCGTGAAGTGCGCGCAGCAGAGGTGATGGCATTTCTGAGGACAGTTCCGGCGGCGACGACAGACGCAGCAAGACTTGCTCAAATTGCCCTAACCCTAAACCCCAAACCCCCCTAAATACAGCTTGAAGTGCAGCTATCATGGTGCTCGAAGGCCGGGCTGTCTGAAGAGACTCGTCAGGTGCTGGGCCGTCACATCAGGTCCACGGAGGGGGCATCCGCCGTGTGCGCGGTAGACTCATCTACGCACCATCGGTCCGGGAATTTGCAAAACTGAGTGCCGACATAGCGGCCGGATCCTTCAGCCCCAAAGCCCACCGCCCATAAACGGGACGCTTTTGGGGGCTTAAGGGTTTAGGGGTAAAGGGCTCTCGTTTCGAAGTGAACTTCTGAAGACCCGCAGTGCAGTTGAGGCTTGAGTGCGTAGGGTCTGCCTGTAGCCGAAAAGCGTGAATCTCATTCCCCATAGCGGCAGCAACAGCAGCTGCAATAAACCCTCAACCATGAACTTCCCAATCGACCCTAAACCAGTGCTCTTCAGAGTCCTGGAAGCAGGTGCTAATGCCAGTCATCGCCCTTTCTCAGAGCAACGACGACGAGGAGCTTAATGACCAGTCATCACCTGCACATGTCTTGGTGGGGGGGTCTTGGCGCTTCTTGTCTCTACATCACGGTGCACAGCCTGCAAAATCGAATTTAGGACTATGGCTGAAGAAGAACGTCAGGAAGGATCCCACATCGCAACGCCCAAACTGTAAACACCAAGCCTTAAACCCCAAGCCATACCTAAGCCTTGGACCCTAAATCCTGCCCTCGAGCGCAGTACAGGCCCGCGACCTCAACCCTCAACCCTAAACCCTAAGCCCTAAATCGTGGCCAAGTGTCTCGCTTCGTGACAGTCCGC